AGGTGACTCGATTGATTGTAAGTAAATCCGGGCGCGTCAACTACTAAAGTATATTCCCGTAGGTGTAGTGCATATTTTATCAAGGGCGGCGGCGGAGGTGGTGGTATTCCCCCAACGTATGCGAGATCCGGCGCCAGCCTACCATCGACTAACGGGTTTCTCCCATCTAGGTATTTCCCGTCAGCAATTCACCGCCCCAGCCGGGTCAAGCTCCAGGCTCCCACCCGATCTCTCGGCATATGTATCTATGAGTAAGGAATGGGAGAGAAAGAGAAAGGAAAGATCGCGCGCTGTCCGTGTCTTGTTTGTTAGGATATTCGGTGCTTCGGCATTCTCCTAGTGTTGATCGGAGAAACCGCAGATTACTACCGATGAGAACTACCGGCCGCATGACTCGAGCTACTTTACCTCCGTGATCTCACGGTGCGCATTTTAACAATTCGTCCAACGACGCCAAAAGTTACAGATAATAGGTGGTTCGAGGCAATAACTGTTATCATTGCAACATTTCTGATCGAGCGGTACTAGGATTCGAGAATCGGCGATGGTAATTTTTGACTCCAGTTGGAAACTAGCTAGGCATTGACGTTCGCAGCCTAAAACGAGAGGGGATAACTTAATATCTGGGCCCCTCTGGGCCCTCTCCCCTTTTTCCCTTAATATTTTTTTATTTAAATTTTGCAATAATATAAATAAAACATATTACAAGAAGAATGAAATCATAACTTTAATTATATATTTATCTAATAATAGAAATTATTTAATATCAATTATTCATTTTATATTGAACCAGGGTTGTCGGATGGTTTGGATAGCCTGTTCCTAAATTAATATGTATAAATTCTCCAAATTATCACATTAAAAATGAAAATTAAGAAATTAATTACTTCTATAGCAATAAAATATTTTATTACATAGGGCTACGGAGCACTATTCGAATTTGTCAGGGACAACCCCCCCTACTCCTCCCCCTGTGTGCACGCCTAGGAAGGTCGGACAAATTTTGCCGCTGTGTGGAGGAGACTTCCACCGGCCGTGTGCTCTGAAGGGTAGGGTGCGATAGAATACGTTTTTCGGCTAGAGAATTTCTAAAAGTTTCTAAAGGTTGAACAAACGTGCTCAAATGATGGACAAAAATAAGCACATAGAAATTCGAAATTTTTTTGGGGGAGGCCAAAGTTCACCGAAGTTAGTTTACCGTGGTTTCTTCCATCAATCCAAGGTGAACCCCGGATAACTTCTCTAGGAGAAGTAGGTTCCTTAAAAACATTCTACGAATCACACGCAATCTTTTCTTTCTCATATTTCACCTCCTCTCCCCGTACATACTCCCCATCTCATATTACATCTCCCCTTACAAGTACAGCTACATGTTCTCTCGGGAGAGCAGTCTTGTAAGCTTGTCAGAAAGCTTGTCGCGGCTGTGACGATGCCCCTCCGGGGGAGGTACATGAACGAGGAATACTACTCGGGCTGATCGGTGCAGAACCTCACTTCCTACTGGGAGAGGAACATTGCAATCTTGGAAAGAAGCTTGAGAAACTTCTGCTGTACTTATTCGTGGTAATTAGACAGTTGAATTCGCTTGAGCTTCAAATGTGAAATATTTTATGAAATTTGACAGAGTATTGAGTAAGTTCTTCCCGGTGCCTAATTTTTCCAGTTTGTATTTTAGACCATCATACCATACCGCTTGGGAGACTGAAGAAGTCTCCTAGTGAGTGACGTTCTGCATTAAATGCTTCGTGAATGCATACAGTATGTGGTAATCAATGTAAGGTGATTTCCAGAGCCTTCCGATCTTGCTCATCTAAGCATCTCACTCTTCACCTGCCTTTCAGCAAGGTGCACCTCTCTTTTTATCATCCCATCTTCACGTCCGTTATTCGTATCTCTACCCATCCGTGAGTGTTAATAGCTTGTATAGTTTTCAATACTTCTTAATTTTATTTTTCAATATCTTTCTGGGGGTATCTGCCAATCTACATTCATTCATCCATTCATTAAAGCATTTATTGGATGATAAGAGGCGAGACGGAGAAACTGGCCGCTCACAATGACCCATCCAGCTAGTGGTTTGTCACGTACTGACTGACAAAATCAGCAGCTCGTTGCATCAGTCTTATCTTTTGATAAGATTCACTTATCGTTGGTAATACCACGAGAGGTTCTAAGATTGCTAATAAATTCAGGTGGTTCAAAATTTGTGGTGCCTTGAAGTATTTTAAAATTTATCAGCAACCTGGGATTTCTTGGTGAGCCTATTAATAAAACTCAATTGGTTTTTAAAAAATATTTTGAAATTGTAGAGATAATTATCGTGTGCAGAAATATTTGAAAAATATATGTAAAATTATTTAAGTTCAAAATGTGTCCTAGTCTGATTAATGTTTATTTCCTGATGCGTCAAGTACTGCTGTCATTTGACCCATAAATATAGTGCATTTACATCCCGAGAGGGTGGTAGTGTTCCTGCGCAACGGATCGTTTAGGGGTTTCCTGCTCCTGGAAACTGTACAGCCCCAGCCGCACTACGCTCGAAACTCGCGACGTGTGAGTTGTAAAGTACATGTGTGTTTGTGTGTGTCTGTTTTTGATTGATTAATTAGTGATTCCGGGCTCGTCAACTGCTAGTCTCATTGGTCCTGTAATTGTAGTACATGTTTTGCTCATGAGGTGACGATGATCTTCCCCCGCTGATTGGTGAGATCCGGCGACGTCCTACCGACGGCTTGCAGGGTGTCCCCTAACCAGGTATCTCCCATCAGCCGGGCACCGCCCCAGCCGGGACAAGCACTAAGCTTCACGACCCGTCTCCCGGCATGTGTGGTACAGTCGTGCATGTACGTGTGTGTAAGGGGAGAGGATAGAACAAGGAAGCGGAAGGAGAGATCGCACGCGGTCTGCGGCCCGTTTGTTAGAGCACTGCTTCAGTATACGGTTCGTGTTGATCGGAGAAACCACGGAAAACCTCTGATTAGAGCAGCCGGTCACTAGAATTCTCCTGACAGCGACAGAAATTGACTCAGCTATCTAGCTAATGTCGAAAATTCTGTCACCGTTGGAACTCGAACCTACGACTTCCCGGTCGGAGGCATTTCAGTGACATCAGTTGATGCCCTGTGTCACCTCTCCTGGTGTGTGTGTGTGTGTGTGTGTGTGTGTGTTTGTGGGAAGAGAAGGGAACAAGGATGAGGAAGGAAAAATCGCCCGCGTTGTGCTCTGTTTGTTCGGATTCTGTTCCGACATTTACTTGGTATTGTTCAGAGAAACTACTGAATACCATCGGTCAGAGCAGCCGTCCGCAAGAATTTTCCTTCAGACATTGAATTAGACCCAGTAAGAGGCCCCATAAGTGTACTGTGACAAAATGAATAGTTAGAAGAAATGAAAATATAATCTAAACAAATAACGTGCTAATTACTTATTATGTTACCTACCTGGATAAGAAACCAATTATTATAGATGCGATAATTGAGACCAAATGGGATTTATTCGAATTTACCGATATTTCAGTCATTTCGTCTTCAAGTCGAGATTACCTATCGCGTCCACTGGATAATGCGTTGGAGATCGATTATAACTGTAACACGGCGGTTGCTCTTCTCGCTCATGAGCGATCAAAAATTCTACGCAAGAGCTCGCTTCCATCACGTTATTTGTCAACTCCATTGTTAGCTATGAGACGCAGGCAAACATAACGTCAGCTCTCAAATGAATAAATCACGACTTTCCTTGTCAGAAGTGAAGGCCGTAGTCAGTTACAGCCTGTAACAACAGCATTTTGTAGTCCTAGTCAGAATTCACAATGCTCGATATCAAAATGACAGCACAAGCCAAATTAGACTTGTAAACATGGAGGGGTATTGAAATCTAACGCTATTACCGTGGTGCTGTTTAAAAATTTGAAAATATGCAATAATGTGTGAAATTTCTGTTCATCGTTACGGAATTATGGGATATTGAAAGATCTTAATGTATTATTTTATGACAAGGTCAAAATATCCGATAATATGTACGTCAAAGATCGTAAAAATATTAATCAGTTTTCGAAAACAATCAGCGATGCGTTCAGTGAAGGAGGTCCTGCTCCTCATTGTCCCCAAACTATGCAATATCTTGCATTTTATATTACATGAATTACACGTAATGCAATAAAGGATGAGTTTATAATAAAATTATGTATAAAACAGAAAATAAATATTTTTCGAGCTCCCTGATAACGTAAGAGGATTTCTCTAATCAGTTTTTTAAAGGCCGCTTGAACATCTAGCAACCACTAGCAACCACTATTGGTTTTAACGTCATGATATCCGTGAGTAGATGAATTGAAATAATGAAGATAGAGTATGAAAGGAAGAACACAAATACAACCATGCCCGAGGCAGGACTCAAACCCGCGATCCGTCCGCACGAAATAGCTACGGTACTACTGCCTTAGCGATCTCGGCCACCGGGCCGGCAATTTGTGGTAGGTTTTTTTTTTTTTTTTTTTTTTTTTTTTTTTTTTTTTTTTTTTTTTTTTTTTTTTTTTTTTTTGAGGGGGGTATTATCGACTACATATAAAATATTACATAACATGTCCCTTGGTTATAAAACATTATTTAAACAGAATAGTACAAAACAATTATAGCTAACACAAATTAAACATATGGTTAAATACACACAGGTGGGAAGGGTATCTTTGGTTAAAAGGTGTTTGTGACTAAAATTACAATGACCAGTTGTCATTCGTGATATTATCACTTGCTCTTTTTTAAAAAAGTCTTTACAAGTTTTCAATGAGTAATTTGTGTGTGTGTGTGTGTGTGTGTGTGTGTGTGTGTGTGTGTGTGTGTGTGTGTAGATGGATAGACTTCAAAGTTCTCCACTGGTTGCCCCATCTCTTCTGCTTTTCCTTGCTGAAGTGTGTCCATAGATCGGCCCATTTGTGCGAATTTGCTAGAACTCCACCTATTTCTGGGATTGTCATCTCTTTCTCGAGGATTATTATAACATTTTCAGGCATCACTTTGTAATCTGAAAGTCATGTCATTACTAAAATCTTGTTCGACTGTGTGCCATAGTACAGTATATGAATGTTATTCTTTAATTCCGGAAAGGCAGTTTTTTAAATGCCCGTCCGTCTGTGAACAACACTAGGTTAGTAGGAATTTTTCTAAAAAAAAATTCTCGGTCGAACTTGCCCTAATTGAGCCCTCCAATTTTGGAAAGAATTCTTAAAATTCTGAGATTACTTCACATAAAACCCCGGGACATTTTCAAAATATTCTCAAAAACGTCTCCAAATGTTTTGTTTTTTTACAACTTCCTTTAGGAATAGATGAACTTCACAAATATAGATGGAATAGGTCCAATTTCATAACCACTAGATGTCAAAAATTGAAAAAGCTTGACAATTTTTTCTGTCTTCCTACAACTACAATATTGAAGATGTAAATTTTTTCATGAAATTAAATTCGTTCTCCATAACTAGTTCTTTAATTAATGTCATGTAGTACACTTTTTCAATATTAGTAGTTTTCGCTGAGTGAAAAATAGACAGTTTTAAAAACAAGCCTTTCTCGAAAACTGTTCCAATATTTTCTATAAAGTTTTTGTACGGATATGCTACGTGCGTACTGACTCACTACGGCACTGATAGATGGGTCTGGATGGACGGCACTTTTGTGTGGATAGCGCGTACTAGACCGGGTCGAGACGGGACGGACGGACGGACGGATGGGACGTGAGGGACGGACCGAAGGACGGGACGGCGAGGCGGGATGTGACGAGACTAGGCGGGATGGGACGGAATGGACAACCGACAGTTTCAGAGTCAGTTTGGCTTTTCGCTCCCTAGGGAAATCAAAACGAAGGCATGCATTTTTTTGTCATTAATGAATAAATATTATGAAAAGCTTTTATACCTTATTAGGGAGTTCAAGAGCTTCCCCAGCACCCAGCTGGCTTTGCCATGAACATACAAAGGTTTACCCAAATATAGAACAAAAAAACTTTTTTAAATAAAAATGTATTCTGTACGAAAATTTAACAAAATAAAATGGTAAATAATAATTTCAACGGTTTAACAACAATGCCTTATACATATTTGGGCGAGATAATATTTTTTACGGGTAAAAATTATTACTGCAATGGTCCTTTCTTCGTAGAACCGATTAATCCTTTGCCGTTTTGTTCTCAGAGTCATGGTAAAACGTAAAAAGTGTTTCTTGTGTTTTTGTAATTCCATGCAGCTTATATTTAATAAGCATATCACTTGAATTAAAGGACAAACAAATAATCTTCACCTAGAAGCAAGGCGCCGCTGAGAGACTCGGAAAGAACATATGTGGAATTCTGAATCACAAGCTGCGGTTCCTAAACTTCGGTTGTAGGAGATACTGACGCCCACAGCACTGTTATGTTGTCTGGCATGGCTTCCGTCCCTCCCCCCTCAATTCTATAATCCCACTATGCGTTTTTTTTTGTATTTATCCGCAAAAGCAGTTTTTTCTATTTTATATCAATTAACTACTGTACTACCGATTAAATCCGCCATAAGCACGCTTCTGGATGTCACGGTCGTTATGGAAATCGTCCACAAACTTCTGAGCAGTAACAAAACACATCAGAAACATTTTGCAGCACATGCTAATGTTTTCTACGGTAAATTGACTTATCTTGAATAGTTTTACGTAAAAAAATGAATCTCAGAAATAGTATGATAGAATACCTAGTTTTCATAGTGGGCTTACTCCCAGAGATGTTTAATTTACAGATAATATACTGTAGAATCAGTCACTCATTAATTTCTTAAACAAAATATCACATTATATTTCTTTCTTAAAAACAACTTACAGTATAAGTTGATTTTTCTTGTAAGAGGGTTAACGTATCGAGTAAAACAAAATTAACCATTACCAAGATGATTACTGTGTTTTGTCTCGTACATCTGGTCTTTTCGTTGAAAATTACAATGTATTATCATAATTCAACTTCTCTCTTCAATCTTCACGAAAACTCCTTTTGGAGCTCGAATTACTACTTCCCAGCTGAGTTCAATTACCACATTTGAGGGGGTAATTACTTTAAATCTTCTCAAAATGTCTGATATTGTCGCTTTCATTTGAAGCATAGCAAATTTCTGACCTAAAAATAAAATATATACTTTGATCAGTAGGACTTCACTTTTAAGACCTGACCAGGGAACGTTTACTTAAATATACCTGCTTGTAACATTTTTAATATTAATAAATGTAAAATTACAGAACTCTGATATGATGTTGCAAAAAATTCCATACGTATAAGTTACAAAAATTGTAATTTGAACAAGCATTAGAGATATGAAGATACGAAATATCACCTATGCAATTCCTTGGTCCGGCACTGAAAGCCAAAAAGGCGTATGGATGTCTTCCTTGAACTTTTTCTGGCAAAAACCGATCCGGGTCGAATTTTTCTGGATGTGGATAGATATCTGGATTCCGGTGCATGCAATAGGCCATGAAGCCGACGTTCGTCCCAGAAGGAATAACCAATTCATCTGGAAATGTTCAAGAACATGGCGATCTTTTGCTTTACCAAATTCAATGTGGTACATTAAATTCTACTTTTCAGAAAGACCGATTGCACGTTCGTCTTAAAATAAATGTTTAAAATTTCTAATGTGTCATTGCAAAAAAATTGTTTCAAGTAACTGCAAAGCAAAATAAATTTAAGAAAGAGAGTTATTTTCAGTGCATGTTTCTCTTAAAAACCTTAATGATGATTTTAGTAATTTTAATTCGACAAGCGTTCATGTAAATCCGGCGCGGTATACCGACCTCTCAATGTGCTAAACATTTTTTTACTTTTAGCAAGGACTTAAAGTTTTTCGTTGTTTTTATCAATCTTTATTGTTCTGTAAGCCAATTTTGAATAAAATAGAAATAACCTTCTAAAGCACCTACAAGCTGAGAAAGTTTGCTAATTTGCAAACCCCTCTTAGTACCCGAATGCAAACTTGGGTATGGGTGTGCAGGGGCTTGGGTCTTTGAACTCAAGAAGTTAAACCTCGGCAGTTGGTTCAAATGCGAAGCACTGTCGGATTTTATGGAGTAAAGAACGTAAATGTATATTTTTCTATGGGTTTTGTTAGACGAGATAGTTGGAAGATAAATGGCCTAAATCAACTAAATGTTTTGATGTCGAGGACTCGAAAATGTTGTAAAAAGTGCAGTATACTTCGTATTTCATACATCTAGGTTGTAGTTTCCCCTTCCCAATAAAAATCGTCTTTTCTTGTAAAATCAACCCGGGAAGTTATTCTTCCTTCAAAAAGAGGACATGTCCAGAGAAAAGAGGACGTATGGTAACCCTATTTATAATAGGTTGGTTATAATCTCACAAATTAAAATTGATTTGAACCTTCTTTCCACTGAACTTAAGGCTAAAGAGCTATAATGAAACCTCCAAAACAAGTCAGAAAAGATACCGTATTTTTAGTCGTCCCGGAGTTAGCACAGGACCTGGGAGATCGATAATCAAAGAGATAAAATGGCGCCTGGGTACATACAACGTACTCAAAGAAAAAGGCCTTTATGATTTTTTTTTCAGGTAACCCCCTTTTTCAGTACCTACCGCCTATTCCTTCCTTCCGAAGCCCATTTGGAAAGTAGTGCTGCAAACTGCTCATGAACTCTGTTTTAGGAAGGAAAGCAAGTAAACAACATTTTACTAGGGACAGCTCACTTCGAGACTCATATAGTGAGAATCTCGCAGCTTGTAGTGGTATTCCGAACTCCTATGGTATTCGTGCATTTTCCAGATCAAAGAAAATGGTCATATACAAATGTGGGACACGCATATTCAGGACATAAGCATTTAGAAAGTAGACAATGAAGATTGTGAGTGCAGGTGATATGATCTGGAGTGATGATAAATGTTATTTCCTCGTAATGTTCTTTGCTTATTATGTAGGACTAATATCAGATACAAATATATAGCAGTACCTCCATGTGTTTTTGTGACATGGTACAATGCTCAGCTTGTAATTTGGGAATTTGAACAGGATGGGGAAGAAAGGATTGCGCGCTGTCTGTAACCATTTATTTGAAGGTACAACTGCGGTTTCCTCCTAGAATTCATCGGAGAAAATCAGGGACATCACCTATCAGAGCAGGCGGCCTCTGTAATTCTTATTCAGGCAGTGACATCGATCAAATCTGCCCCGTAGCTAAATCGAAAACGTCTGCCACGATCAATTAGAAGTTTTCAGTCAATTAAGCTTCAATTGTGAACTTGCAACTTGGGTATTAAACAAACTATTGAATCATATGTCAACAATCAATATTTCATGACCGATGTATTAAACGGTTAAAGATTTTGCTTACCAATTTTCATATCTTGCTCTAATCTGCGTCCATAAAACGGAACACTAGGAAACAACCTAAGAGATTCTTTAATCACACATTCCAAATATTTCATGTCTTGGAGATCTCTGTACGTACTCTTGCGTTTTGAATTTCCAAAAACGCCAACTAGTTCGTTATACACTCTGTCCTGAAAAAGTGGGTAATCATCTTAATGCAAAAAAATTAAAAGTACTAGGCAGTATATACCACTATAGATCACAGAACTTACCTGTACGTTCGGATGCAATCCCAATAACCGTAAGCAAAACGTTATTGCTGAAGAAATTGTGTCATGGCCCTGAACCACATACAAAATACATCTATTATTCTTTCATGTTTAGTTCGGTATTTTATTATACTGAAATATAGGCGGTGTTAAAATATATTCCAAACTTTGTTAATTATAAGTGAGTAAAACAGACCTCGAACATAAATGTGTCAACTTCTTCTCGAATTTCTTCATCAGTGAGTTTTTCTCCATCATTCTGTGCGGTCAATAACGAGTCCAGGAAAGCTACCTTGTGTTTTACTCCTGCAGTATGAAAACACTAGATCAGATGTTTTTTTGTTATTGTCAAACAGGATCATATCACTTATTAAGCATTGCCCCTATCCTCTTTACTTACCAGTATCGTCTACGGAAAATGATGAATCTGGATTCAGTAGACGATAATGCTTTCTAGCTTGTATTACCTAAAATAATAATTGAACAATATGGATTAAAAATATTTGTGCGTATGTCACTACTCTCGTTAACTCGAATATTCAACGCATTCTTATGCATCAGAATTTCAAAGTATTTTCAAAACAGAGAATTGTAAAAAATCTCTTAAAACATGAAATTAAGAACAACTTTAAAAGGTAACAAAAGTTAAATTCAAAAATTTCCTATGTCTCTTTTGTCACCTATTCAAAAATATTAGAGACTTATTTTACGTACGAACGAAAATATTTCTCTATAAATCTGAAGTGTTTTTAGATTGCTGCTTGGGTTCTCAAAAGCAAAATCTACAGAAATAACTATTTTTTTCAATAAATCGAAATTTCAAGGAAATGTAGATAGATTACTCCCCTTTTAATCCGGTAAAAACGTATTGTTTTTAACTGATGAAACATTAAATAAATTCATAAATAAATAACATACCTCGTTGGTTGTTGAGTGTAGAATTTTGAGGTATTGTTCTTGTTTCCTTCTTAATTCACTCCACCGAAAAATTACATCAAAAAATAGCCATGGGTATTGCGTACGTTCCATTATTACTCTGGCCATCCTTCAAACAAAAGTAATGTGAAATACTAATAATAACAATAGTATGAAATGCCAATATATTGACAACGAAAATAATGGAAGTGAGAACATTTATTCAAAGTGATTGAAAATCAATAGTTTACATATCTACAAATTAATATTTGATGTCACCGAGTTGCTTTGAACAAATCAAATTATTAAAATTAATATTCGAAATTACATGAATCCAATATATCTCACCCTTTTACTGCTGCAACATACTGCGATTGGTGATTTTCTTGGGCGTGAACAGACACCCCAAAAGTTGTTTCTGAAAAATGTATTTCGAACATTTTAATGTAGAATTGATTTTTTATTGGAAAAACGTACTACTCGAAAGCCATTAATAAGCAGTACCTAGAAAAGAATTTAGTAGATAATTCGAAAGATATGGGAAATATATGATGTTTTTATTGAATAAACTATTATTGATTATTTTGTTTTTCGTAGCAAGAAAACAGCAATATTACACTATTTTATTCAAGACACGACTTCGTTTTTATCAGAAATGTAGAATAACATTTTCAGAGTTATTATGTATTGCGAAATCAAACGCAACCTTATTCGTTTCACATGGTCTTATTTTGTAAAAATGGCGTAAAAATTACTGTCAACGCCAACAATTTCCTCTAAATTTTTAAATCATATCAGTGGCCTCATCCTTTTGCTTAGAGTCAAACATGCAATGGGTCATCCGTGTGTAATAGTGACCTCTCTAGTTTCACTGTCACCAGAATGACAACAGAGGTGCTGTTGGTCAACGAAGGAGAATGTGACACGGAAAACAATCATGGTTCAAACTGTTTGGTTATAATTGAAAGTAAACTGTGAAAGTAAACTTTCTTCTTTCGTATCCTTGAGGAAGGAATAATACATATCAATGTGTTCTCAAATAAAATATTTTTTAACTTTATCTGACCAATATTCCATTATCTAATGAAAAGTATTCATTGTTTTTTTGTTATTTCCTTCTGTATATGAAGTAATTATCTAAAGGTGCTGCATTCTTGTGATTGTAATTCCGTTAAACTTACTTTCACTTACCGCAAATCACATCCAGAGCGTACAGGGTAATATAGTCGTATATGTTAAATGCAGGACCATTTCCATGAGCTTCCAGTTTCCTCAAAAGAATTTCACTATTATGACAAAAGGTTTCCACAAATTGTTCAAGAATTTTGAAGTGGAACGCAGGTGTAATGATTTTTCTATGCCTTTTCCACTTTTTACCTAGTGTATTGACAAATAAACTTTACTAAAAGTAATCAAATAAAACTATTCCACGAATGAAATTATATCCAACAGTTTCAGATTGCGCTAATTATCAAATATTAATGATAGTCGCACTTTAAGCGCATGTCGCCTTATGTTACTGATGTATCGTAGCTTATGATTGACCAGTAGAGAGAAGTGGCAAGGAATATCAGATAGAGAAGGCAACAACTTTTTGGTTCACGTTTTTTACACCACCCTAATTGAAAAAAACAACAAATAAACTGCAAATCGCTGTTGGTGTTAATTTCATGAGTGGGTTAGTCAATAAAACTCCAACAGCTTATGGGTTATGCCTTTCCTGTTCTTACCTGAAGATGTCAACAATCCTTCACCCAACCAAGGGAATAAAAATTTATACAATACAGATTTTTTAAGGTTTATGTGGCAACCCATGAAAGCCTGAAAGATTAAAATCAGTTTCGTTCTTAAATATACACTAGAAATAATAATGAAACACAGTTTTTAGAAATGAATATAAATACTTCAGTTGAAAATAATGTTTTTTTTAATTATTTAACGTCAAAAACAGTTAAAAACTGTGTGTGACGCACTATGGGGAGAAGTATATATTTTTATGGCACAATTGCAACAGTAGGTCATGATAGCAATGCCTCAAGCAATCAATAATACAAAAAATAGCAGTTGCTAACAAAATGAGGGCGCGGCAACTTTCATGGCTTGTTTCGATTGTCTGGCTAGTATATCTTCTTGCATATCTAATTAGGAGAGCGCTCGTTTGTCTGTTTTTTTGTTTGCAGTGAACCTGACGAGTTCAAGCATCAAGATTTTACAGGTGAGATGTTACGGTTTAAATCCTAAACTTGCGTTCCGGAACAAGCGAGGAAGCGTTCACATATCTAAAATAGATGGATAAATACCAACCTAGAAACATCTTCGAAGTACGTTTCGGACTTTAGCTGGATGAAGTTAACATTAGTCAACATGAGGTGGCTAGGCGAAGTACGTTGTGTCAACGAATAATAGCAGTAAACGTGTAGATAGGTTGTGTAAATGGGTGGTTAATAGGGATAAGGCTGCTGGAGTGAAGTTTGTGAAGCTATTGAGAGACAAGGAGAGAGGTTTCGAATTACACTATACAAATCACAAATTTCTATTTACACGATACTACCTAGCCTAACCTTACTATATTTTAAGTTTTACTTTCTCGCTATGGGGTTGAGAAAAAGTTATGTAATGCTGTGGGAAAAAATGATTTTTCGGCGGAAAACTCTGATTACAGATCCCTAATATCAACAAAGTGGATAAATTTTAAATTTTGAAAAGAAAAAAAAATACTCCAACACGAAGTATAGCAAGAATTTACGATTTGTGGGTCCTTGATACCGAAAATGGAAAGACGTCAAAACGTCTGTCTGCCCGTCTGCAAACAACAGTAGTGGCTAAGCCGTTCAACCAATTTTCACCAAAAGTGACATTCCCCAATCGATCTGACTCATGTCACGGCCCTTAAAATTTACAACATACTTAAATTTTTTAGGTATGTTACCCTGGGATATTTTCCAAATTTGCAAAAAACCGGCCCTATCGCTTTTGATTAAATGTTTTTGATGGAGAGTGTGAAGGACGTACAAGATAATGATGAAGGTGTCATATTCGTCAAAAACCCTGATTTTTCGAAACTTGTAATAGTTTGAAAAAATTTCGACGTCTTCCGACAACTAAAGTATTCATGTTAGACATTTTCCCCTTAATAAAATATGTTCCTTAAAGATAGACTTTGAAATAAGGTCATGTATAATTTTTCGAAAATTTGAAAATTTGGCGGTATTTGCGTGAAAATACTGGCGCGTACGTACGTGCTGTTTTAGCACAACTAAAGCTGCGGGGTTATGGTGGTGTAACCGCACCAGATAATTTAAAAATTAATGGACTGTCTTACCTCCAAATGGTTGGGATTCGAGACGAAAACAAAGAGTTCAGGACCAAGCCACATTTTATATATATTAGATCCATATTGTCTCCAAAGTCTGACAGTGTTTGTCATCATTTCTGTAAAATAAAATAAAAAATTAAAAAGTGCATTCAAATATTAAACCAAAATATTTCTACATTTTCTAGCGTAGTGGTTCCCAAATATTTTAGTTATGCACAGCTTCAATCTTCATTTCATTATTCAGGGAGACATGTGGATTTATGCGGAGGGGCAGCATTTAAGCTATCGCTGATTTTACTGGTCAATGTTCGTTCAAAACACAATTTCGGTCTAAGAATTTCCTTTTGTTATCCGGTGATTGTCAAACCTTTGAACACAACCGTTCTAGTTGAACGTTCCCCCAATTATCGAACACCTTTCATTAGAGTGGCAAAAGTGTACTGGTTCAACTACCTTTTTCCTCAAATATTATTTATTTATTTATTTAATAGGTAATTATTACAAACAAATTAGATTACTTGATCCTATGTG